TTTTTTGTTCTGATGATGCCTTATACCTGATCCCTTCGACACCTTGTGATAGCATAGGCTGGTGTGCTTCTTCCATGTGGGCTTTGTTTCAGCAATTCCTCTTTGTTACATTACCCTTGATCATGCCCTACCAGGCCTCGTGGACCCACCTCCCCACCAATTTGGATCACTTGTTCCCTTTTCCCTGGGTTTGTTAACACCACTTCCTTTCCCCCACCTCCCTCTCTCCCATGTCCCCCGGAACTGTCGGTCCCGTTGTTTTCTCCTCCAGATTGTTCAGCCAAAGGCCATTTCTAAGAGTGGAAAAAGCACAGCACTTCGTAAAACAGTTGATTATATGTTTCTATCACAGGCATTCACCGTGGCAAGACTACATTAGAAAACTGTGTACTGCAATGTGAAACTACAGGAGTTACCGTAAGAACATCAGCAGAATTATTAATGAAGAACTCAGATTTATATGGTGCCAAGGTATGATAGTCTCCTGTCCTTCTAGTGCAGTAGTTTGTGTTTATGTTATAAATGTACCACTAGGATATGAGGCTACGATGTGGTGCACGTGCCTAGTCTTCCGAACAGTTCAGACACTTGCGCATACTCAGTCACCCAGACTTTGTTATACAAGATTAGCCTTTAAAAAAATTAACTTTAATTTAATAAATAATTTTATCAGGGGCTCCTATAGCTCTTATAACAATCATACATCAATTGTATCAAGCACATTTGTTCATATGTTGCCATCATCATTTCCAAAACATTTTTTTTCCTACTTGAGCCCTTGGTGTCCGCTCCTCTTTTTTCCCCTCCCTCCCCATCCCTCCCACCCTCGTGTACACTTGATAGTTTATAATTTAGTTTTCTTTTCATATTTACAACGTCCACTTTCTTCCTTCACCCATGTTTCTGTTGTTTGTACCCCCTCGAGATGGTGGGGGGTGTACGTTGATTATTGCGATTGGTTCCCCCTTTCTCCACCTTCTCCCCTCACTTTTTCCCTACCCTCTTGGTATCACTACTCTCATTATTGGTTCTGAGGAGTTTATCTGTCCTGGATTCTGTGTGTCGAGTGTCTTATCTGTACAGTGTACATGCTCTTGTCTAGCCAGATTTGTAAGGTAGAACTGGGGTCATGATAGTGGGGGAGAGGAAGCATTAATGAACTAGAAGAATGTTGGGTGTTTTGTTGGTGCTATATTGAACCCTGGCTGGTTCCTTCCTCTTTGTGACCCTTCTGTGAGGGCATGTTCAATTGTCTACAGATGGGTTTTGGGTCTCTATTCTGACCTCCCTCATTCCCATCAAAATGGTTATTTGTTTTGGGCCTTCTGATGTCTGATACCTGATCACATCAATACTTGGTGATCACATGGGTTGGTGTGCTTCTTCCATGTGGGCTTTGTTGCTTCCCTGCTAGATGGCTGCTTGTTTGATCCTAAACCTTTAAGACCCCAGGCGCTGTATATAAGATCATTCTTGTTTAGCATTTTCAACACAGGTTTGGAAGAAAAAGAATAATTCTCATAGTTGATTGCTAGTAACTTTAATAGAAGCTCAGGCCCTGAAAATTAAAACTTTTCGAAAAAGTTGGCAGTAATTGACACCCAAGAGTTGTTTGAGCCCCAATAAAATGATTTAAAAAAACAAAAGAGAAAGAAAAGAAAGTATGAGGTCCTGGATAGAGTAAGAGAAAAATGTGGCACAAAGCTCAAAATTATTAAAAACAAAAACAAACAACAACAACAACAACAAAGAATTGCAGTTTTAGAAGCGCACAGGGGCAGTTCTACTGCCCTATGGGGTCACTGTGAGTTGGAATAGGCTCAATGGAGGTGAGTGAGAAAATTGACAGTTACTTTTTTAGAAAATGTACTTTGAGATAATTATCGATTCATATGCAGTTGTAAGAAATAATATGCAGGGCTCTTATATGCATACCCTTTATCATTGTTCCCCAAAGGTAACTTCTCATAAAATTTTAGTACGGTATTACAATAGGCTACTGACTTTGATACAGCCAAGATACAGAACGCTTCCATCACCATAATTATGATTCCTTATGTTGCCCCTTTATCATTCCACTCAGGGTGCATCTCCTACCCCAGCTCCTCCTTAACTGATGAGAAGCACAATCCTTTCTTTAATTTTATCATTTCAAGAATATTACGTAATGGAATCATTTTGTGTGTAACCTTTTGTGTTAAGTTTTTTCTCTTTGTCATGTCTCTTAAGGGCAAAGTGTCTCTCTAGTAAGTGTGGTCTGTAATTGTCTTGTGTCTTTGTCAAGATTTTGATATACAAGTAATATACAAGTTTCAAAAAAATGTATTTGGAAGTGTTTCTATTTTTGGAAAAATTTGAGAAGACTTTGAATCACATGTATAAATATTTGGTAGAATTCTCCAGTGAAACCACATGAGCTTTTCTGTTTTGGAAAGTTTTTGATTAGTGATTTAATTTCTTTTCTTTTTATGTATTTGTTGAAATTTTCTGTTTCTCGAGTCAGTGAAGGAAGCTTATTTATTCATTTTATCTAATTTGCTTGTGTACAGTTGTTCCTACTCTTCTCTTGCGATCCTTTTTATTTCTATTATTGGATCCCCTCCTTTCATTTATGATTTTAGAGCTTTATATCTCCTGTTCTTTTTTTGCCATCCAAATTAATGTATTGATGCCGTTGATAAAAATCCAGCTCATTGTTACATGATTCTCTTTTTTGTTTTTTGTTCTCTTTTATTTATCTCCTCTCTGGTCTTTGTTATCTCTTTCCTTTCTGTTGCTTTAAGTTTTGCTTGTTCCCTTTCTAACACCTCAAATTTTTTGGCTAGGTTATTGATTTGTGTTCTTTTAAAAAAATAATTTTTGTATGTATGTTCTTTAAAGTAAGTCTTTATAGCTACACATTTCTGTCTAAGCATAGATTTGCTGCATACCATATTTTTGAAATATAACTTCATGTTCATTTCACTCCAAATATTTATTGATTTCTTCTTTGGTTAACTGACTGTTTAATAGTGTTTCCTTTAGTTTCTATGTATTTGTATATTTTCTAATTTTCTCTTCTTTTTTCAAATTTCTAATTTAACTGTCACAGAGAAAATATTTTGTATGATTTCAGCCTTTAAAATTTGTTGAAACTTGCTTTCTGACCTAATGTATAGATTACCCTACAGCAGTGGTTCTCAACCTTCCTAATGTCATGGCCCTTTAATACAGTTCCTCATGTTGTGGTGCCCCTCAACCATAACATTATTTTCGTTGTTACTTCATAGCAATACTTTTGCTACTGTTATGATATTTACTGAATGTAAATATCTGATATGCAGGATGTATTTACATTGTTACAAATTGAACATAATTAAAGCATTGTGATTAATCACAAAAACAACATGTAATTATATACTGTGAAATATTTCTTTCTAATTACAAAGAAACGAAATTTTGCCTTGAAGTATGGTGTAGCATGGGTGACAGTCTTCACACCGGGTGGTCGTATGTGGGCATATCTGAATGTGGGTGGACCTGCCTGGAGATGAATAGAGGAGTGGTGTCTCCGTTCCTAAGACCATTGGAAATATGTGTTTTCAGATGGTCTTAAGTGACCCCTGTGAAAGGGTTGCTCAACCCCCAAAGGGGTCACGACCCACAGGTTGAGAACCGCGGCCCTAGAGGATGTTCCATCTAAACTGGCGAAGATGAAGATTATATTGTTGTTAGGTGGAATGTTCTATTTAATTTAGGTCTTCTTGTTTCATGGTGTTGTTCAGGTTCTTTGTTTCCTTATTGATCTTTCCAGGTGTTATATCCATTATCGAAAGTAGTGTGATGAAGTCTCCAACTATTATTGTAGAGCATTCTGTTTCTCCCTTCAGTTCCTTCAGATTTTGCTTCATTTTGAGGTGCTGTTAATGGGTGCATATATATTTGATAAATGATGGACATAGTTATTATATATTGATGAATTGACCCTTCATTCTTATATAATGTCTTTTTCTTTTAAAAAAAATCATTTTATTGGGGGCTTGTACAACTCTTATCACAATCAGTTGAATCTGGCATGTTTGTTCATATGTTGCCCTTACTCTCTTCTAGACATTTACTTTCTATTGAGCACTCGGTACCAGCTCTTTTTTTTCTCCTCCCTTCTCAGAACCCCTGATAGATTGTACATTGCTATTATTTTCATCTCTCACACTGACCGCTGCCTCCCTTCCCCCATGTTTTCTCTTGTTCTTCCCCCTGTAGAGGGGTGTATCAATCTAGATCTGTTAGAGCTAACCACCCAAATGCAAAAAATAAACATTCTTCTCAAGAGTGCATGGGACATTTTCGAAAATAGACCTCATGCTGGGACACAAGTCAAACCTGAGTAAATTCAAACACATATAGATTACGAAGATGTCCTTCTCGGATCACCATGCCATAAAGCTGGAGAGTAATAAAAGGACGACCAGAAAATCAAGAGCGAACAATTGGAAGATGAATAATGATCTTCTGCGATATAAGTGGGTACTGACCCAGATTAGAGGGGAGATCAGAAAGTTTCTAGAAGAGAATGAGAATACATTGCATCAAATCCTTTTTGTTTCTTATAACAGATTTTGACTTAGATTTTTTTTGTGTGTGTAATATGAAATTCTCTACCTTAAGTCTCTTTTGTTACTATTTTCACAAGACTATGGCCTTAAATTGTTCTTCTTTTAAAATTTTTAATGATTTCTAGTAGTTTTAAAAATTCACTTAACTATTCTCTTGTAGATGTATCTTTTTTGGTGGAATACCCCCACTCCTAGAAAAACAACTCTAGTTGAGTCATAAATGGTTAATGGCAACTTGAATGCATTGATGAAATTGTGCATTATTCCCCAATGGTTTCTTAAGTGTAGATGTTTGATTAAATCATTTTCACTTCCCCATGTCCCTACCATAGCAGCTGGCAATAAATTATCCCTACTTTTTGCTGGTACCTTGTGCTGAGGGACAGAGTAAGAGAACTGGGCCATACATATATCTTTCTGATTAATGTATAAACAAGGGACTTGAATGGGCTGCTAATTTTATTCTGTATCTAGTAGTGGAAGCCATTAGTCATTTAACTCTTAGATGGAATTTTTAGGTTAGTTTGTGTATTTATTATTGATTTGTTTTTTAACATATGGTGTCTTGTTTCTATCCTTGAATTATAATCTTTTACTAGGCTCAGTTGCTGATCTTTAACCAATTCAGTGTTTCTGAGAGAGGCTACTTTGTATTCAAATATATCCTTATCACAATGATTTTCTTGTTTGTAGCATCAGAAAACTGGTTTATCCAGATTGAGGTAATGGGACAAGAATTAAGTGTTGACTTTCTTATCCAGAGGGGTATATGTTTATATGTGTTTTATTTTTGAAAGTGATAAATAGTAGACAACTAGCTAGAAATGAAGCAAATGGAAATGTTGATAGAAAGTACCTAATAAAACATATCCCTAAGACATTTTATATTGCACTGTGTTAAAGGTTGAGAAGTGATTGTAATAAACCTCTTATAGTTCTGCCTTTTAAAAGCTCATTGTCAATACTTCAAATTGTAACTTATAGGGTGCTGGTTTAGAAATATATCCAGGGAGTAAGTGCACCTTGAGTGACAATGGGATCCATCACTGCAAAGAAGGGATACTCATTAAGGTGAGCACCTGCAGAAACACTCTGTTTCCAAAAATTAGAATGGCATCATCAAAGAAAAATTATGTTTTATGAAATTTCCACATTGAGTTCTGCTGTTTTCTGATTTTGAAATGTGTAAAAAGTATATAAATTTTAATAATATCAATAGTTGATGACTGAAAGCCTCTTGTGAGAATGTTTTACTGCCTATAGATCTGTAAGAATGACAGGAATGCTATATTACTCAGAGCTCAGAACTGCGCTACAACATATTAATAAGCATAGCTTTTCAACTTATTTTTAGAATAGCCTGAAAAAAAAGTGAGAGGATTTTTAAAGCAGGAAGTGTTGAATGTGACAGTTCCTTAAAACATTTGTTTCCAATGTCACAGGACTTCTTAGATGAGCATTATGACATTCCCAAAATAACTATGGTGAATAATGTCATACATAATAATGAAGGTTATGGCGTTGTCTTGGTGAAACCTACGATTTTCTCTGACCTGCAAGCAAATGCCCAAGATGAAACTGAAGGTACAGTACATTTAGTTATCTTTTATATAAAAAGACCGAATTTACTTTATTTTAGCATTACATTCTGATGGAAACTCGTCTTCCCTTCTCCTTAAAATTAGATTATTATGTCATACGTGGGGATAGAGACAAAGCAGCTTAGTAAAACCATTAATGGAATCTCAGAGTGGAAGAAACTTTTAAGGTCAATTTGTTCAATTATTTATTGTTTTATAAATTGATATGATAGTTTTGTGGTCTTGCTAATCCTTCTTATGGCACTTTCTAAAATGTATTGAATAATATGGGTATATTACAGCAGTGGTGTCTCCTGCTGGCTTTTGTTAAGGATCTTGTGGTTGTTGTTGAGTTGATTCTGACCCATAGAAACCCTATATGATGGCAGGACTGCCCTATGGGATTTCTAGAATGTACACTTTATGGTAGCAATTGTCAGGCCTTTTTTTCTTTTCATTAGGTCTTTTTTTTCTTCCATTAGGTATTTTGGGTTCAGCCTAGCTGGTGCACTTGAACTGTTGAATTTTATTTAGTAGCTTAGTGTTTAGCCATTGAGCCACTAGGACAGGAAAGAAAGTTCCAGGTTGAAGCTTGCGTTTTATGAAGACAGTGGAGTTTGCCATTCATTGGTAGAAGTAAACACTTCGCTTTCACCTCCCTTTCTCTTGGTAAAAGTTGCAGTAACTCAGGGAGAAACTCATAAAAATCAAGCCATGATCCAGATTATTATAAAACACTGAAGTGGATGGGCAAAGTCGAAAGGATGACATGTAGCTCAGACCACCCACCCTTCAGGATTAACTTTACTTATCTCTGTGTTTCATTATCTCACAGTTCTGTACAGAAGTCCGGGAGACTACTGTCTTTGCTAAGTTCTTACAAGGGTGAAATCAAATTGGGTAGGGCTCTGATCTGGAAGTTTTGGGAACAATCCACTTCCAAGCTCATTCATGTTGGCAGAGTCTAGTTTCTGGTAGTCATAGGTCAAGTCTCTCTTTTTTCTGAGACTGTCGGCCAGGGACTGCTCTCTCACTCTCAAGTCCTTACCTTGCGGCCTCCTCCATCTCAACAACAGAAAACCTCCCAGTCGTGAAATTACTGGTGTGCTTTGAATCTTTCTGACTTCTGCAACCAGTTGAGAAAGTTCTGTTTTTCATGAACTCATTATTAGATTAGGCCCACCTGAGTATTTCATATTTGGGCACATGTTATATTCTTTAATATATAGTAGTATTTATTAAGGTCAACTTATTAGTAACCTTGATTCCAAAATAAAACCACAGCTGTTGATTTGATTCCTACTCATAGAAGCCTAATAGGACAGAACAGAACTGCTCCATAGGGTTTCCAAGACTGTAAATCTTTACAGAACCACACTGTCTTATTTTTCCCACTGAGTTACTGGTGAGTGTGAACCTTCCACATGTTAGTTGCCCAGTGTTTCACCCACCACACTAGCAGAACTCCTATACCCTTGATTACATCTATCCATTTATTTTGCCATGTAACAATCATGGGAACAATACCGTAGGTTGAGGATCATTACAAACATTTAAAATTTATTACAAACATTCACTTTTAATTCTTTAAGTAGTTGTTAGATTGAGTTTCTTTCGGAAAAGTAGTACTGCCTTATTAGTTTTTCCATCCTAGCACAGTCCTTAACAGCTAGTAAATATCCTGTTAATCATAAGATCAACGATTCAGACCCACCAGTCTTTCTAAGGAGGATGTCTATTCCCCAAAGATTCATAGTCTTAGGAACCCTATGGAGCATATAGGGTTACTATGAGTCAGTATTGATTTGATAGCATTGGGTAGAAATATCCAGGAAATGCCTGATGAGCCAATGAAGTTTTAGGTTAAGAATGAGAAGCATTTGGAAATAGGTGATCCTGTAAGAGGTTAAGGAAGTCTGGCCAAACAAGACAACTGCTCATAGAGATTCTTAATGGTAAAGAGTGTGTAAAAGCAAATAGACATTTTTGTGATAAAAGAAATCAAAAGCTCTTGTTGTTAGGTGCTGTTGAGTTTGAGAATGCAGCACTTTCTAGACCTGTGCCATCATCACAAATGTTGCTGTATTTGAGCCTGTTTTTGTAGCTACTGTGTGATTCCATCATGTTCAGGGGCTTTTCTCTTTTATCCTGACCCTCTACCAAGTATGATGCCCTCCTCTTCCTGTTAACATGTCCAAAGTACACGAGATGCCGCCTCACCATCCTCACTTCTAAGGAGCATTTTGACTGTGTTTCTTTCAAGACAAATTTGTTACTTCTGGCAGTCCAACACAAATGCCTTAGTTCTTCAGTCTTCCTTATCCATTGTTAAGCTTCCACATGGATGCATGGCTCTAATAGAGTGTGTTATCTATCTATCTATAATTATATATATATTTTATGTTATTTATATTTAACATATATATATTTAACATATATATATATGTTATTTAGTGTAGCTTGTATATATTTATCTGTTTTCCTTTTATTATTTGTCCAGGAAATAAAGTGCTTAAAATTCAGACAAGTGGAGAGGTAGATGCAGATGAAAAAGTGGATTTTGAAGAGATAATTCAATGTGCAACAGATAAAATGGAGCTTTATGCAAGAACTGACTTTTCTGATCAAGTTGAAGGCAATTGTGAAATCATAAATGAACTAGTTGCTGCCTCCACAAAGAAAGGCCAGATGAAGAAGAAAAGGTTGAGTGAACTGGGAATCACAGAAGCTGATGACAACCTCATGTCCCAGGAGATGTTTATTTCTATTGTGGGAAACCAATTCAAGTGGAACGGGAAGGGGAGCTTTGGAACATTTCTTTTCTGACCACTATAATGCGACTAGATATCAAAATATTGGAATTGCATGTGCTGCCCTGAGACCACTGCTGCTATCATAGTTGGCTTCATGTCTACGTTTTCTATTCAGTGTGCTCACTTGGGTTTGCGTGTAATGTAGATTTATCTCTGTCTGCAGATATTGCACAGACAAGACTCCTCCTTTACAAGAACGGTCATGAAAACATGTAATAGAAACTATTTGGTGATTTTCTTAAAGCTAGGAAGCCTTGCTTTCCTAAACACATATTTCTCTTATATTAAGCTTATTTATAACTCTCCAGTGTAAATACACTTTAATCTAGTCTCTTCACAGAGGAGCAAGGGCAGGAATGAACCAAGAGTGCACAAAAATAAGTGTCAAATATGGTGTTCTTCTCGTAGTTGTCTTTGTATCCAATTACAGGGAGTCTGATTTCTAAGCAGTATTTGCATAATACTTGTCTTAAAATAAAAGCTTTTATGATTGGGAAGTTATCTGTCTAATCAGACTTATTATTCAGAATCTGAGTGGGCTGCATTTTTATGTTAAGCTATGCAGTCATTAAAACAGTAATAGATAGCATTGAAGGTTTGAAACAGAAAATGAAATGGATTGTTCAGAGCCAGTACCTATGTAAGGCATTTTCTTTATTGATGAATATGAATGATTGCAATGAAGGTGTTTTTCTTTCACTTGAACAGCTTCTGATCAGATTTCTTTGCTTACAAAGTCAAACTGATTACTTATACAACCTGTATTAGCTACATGTTCTTGATATATTATAAAACACAGCCACTAAAAGTATTTATATTAAAAAATATATATGTGATAATAATGTGCCTACTGATTAAAATTATACTGATGAATTATCAAGCTTGATTCTTGTCCTCTTTCTAAATCTCTGATGATTTAGCATGCCTAGGTAGCAGGTATGATCCTTTGAAGGACACACACTAATTTGATCTCTTCCTAGTGTTTCAGAAAGAGTATTCAAATTTTTTGAAATGTATTTGCTTCTTAGATTTATATTTATTATAAGATTTATTGTTTACTTGATATTTTTCTTTTCTTAATCTTACTGTAAAGAGGCTTAAAAGGCGATGCTTATTAATTCTATATCGGTTTTAACCAAATATTGACTTGAAAGCAATTTATTCAACATTTTTTAATCAAATAGGTTTTCTGGTTGTATTTCTACTTGATTTTGGAGTTTAGATTTTGTGCACTGCCCTGTAACTAACTGCTGGAGTGTCAAAGGGATGATATGTTTAGGTCAATAAATCTAATATCTTCCTTGTTCCTTTATGTAGAAAAATAGTGTCTTAGATTTTAGTGCAGTTCTACTTTAAAAATCTAAGCTTATATTAATTTATATTCAAGTGATCAGTTATTAGTGAATTGGCTTGATGCGTTCTGTAAGCTACTTAAAATACATTTTACCTCAACATGAAGAGTTGAACATCTCAGACCATCACATAGCGAGAACCCTGGAAGATGATCTATTTGACATTGTAGAAAACACTGACTCATCAGTATTGACTATGTTACCAGGTTGTTCTGTCCTTTAGATGTTTCCTGGCTGTGACCCTGATTTTACTGCAATTGAACTCTGTACCTTGAGTTGAATATTTATTTTGCTTGAGGTTCTTTAGAAACATCTCCCTTTCTCAGATACTTGTTCTGTTACTGAGCCGCAGGGACTTTCTCATTTGATCGCAAAGTAGGTGTTCTTGTTAGATGCTGCCAAGTCAGTTCCACGCAGAGCAAACCCTGTGTTACAACAGAATGAGACACTGTCTGGTTCTGGTTCTGCCCTCTTCTCTCAATTGCTATGTTTGAGCTTACTGTTGCAGCTTTGCTGTCAGTGCCCCGCGCTGAGGATTCTTTCTCACTGACTCTCCACTTGTGTTAGGCCGAGGTGACTAGCGAAACAAATCTAGGGACACTCATATATGTATAAGACAGAGCTTTATAGGGAAGAGTGATTATATATTGAGAAACCAGTCCAGTCCAGTCTAGATCAAGTTCCTCAGTCTGATATTAGCCCATAAGTCCGATACTAGTCCATAAATCACTCTTCAGAGTTATGCAGCCACATGCAATGATGCAGAATGCAGGAACATCACAGGCTGGTAGGTGAAAAGTCTTGAAGGTCTTAACCGTGGCTCCATGTGGCTTGTCAATAGGAAGGATAAGCAGAGAGAGAGAGTGGCCCACCTCTTATGGTAGAATCAAGAGAGAGGAAGTTTCCAGAATCTTCATGAGAAGTCCACACCCACAGGGAGGCATCATCAGGCTGTAACCGGATTGATAAGCTAGACTCCACCTCTAGACCTATATATCAAGTTGACATGAAATTAGGTAACTACTGCACCACTTTACCAAGCATGATCTCCTTTTCCAGGGATTAGTCCCTCCTAAGACCATTATCCCAAGTATGTGATATGAAGTCTCACCATCTTTGTTTCCAAGGAGCATTCTGGTTGTACTTACTCCAAGACAGATTGGTGTGATCTGACAGTCCGTGGTACTGTCAATATTCCTCATCAAGACCTTAATTCAAATGCATCACTTCTCTGATATTCACTGTCCAACTTTCACATCCATATGAAGCAATGGTTAATACCATGGTTTGGGTCAGGGACACCTTAGTCCATCCAGTGACATCCTTGCTCTTCAACACTGTAAAGAGGTCTTGGGCAGCAGATTGACTCGATGTAAAACGTCCTTTGATTTCTTGGCTGCTACTTCATCAGTGTTGGTGGAGCCACACAAAATGAAATCCGTGCATCAGTCCTCTGTGTTTGTTAGTCTTTCCTCTATCATGATGTTATCTACTGGTCCAGCTGGGATTTTGGTTTTCTTTACATTGAGTTGCAGACTGTACCGACTGCAGCCACAGCCTTTGGTTTCCTTCAAGAAGTCTTCCATATATTCAGGAAGCAAATTTGCATTTTGTTAATAAGCCTTACTCTGATCCTGATGCCTCATTCTTTATACAATTTCTCAGGAGTATTTGCTCAGCATACAGATCGCTGAAGTATGGTAAAAGGACGCAACCCTAGTGAACATTAAAATTTTTTTAAACCAGCATTCCCTTGTTCTGTTCAAACATAGCCTCTTGGTCCATTTATAGGTTTTCAATTAGCACAATTAAGTGTTCTGGAATTTCCATTTTTCACAATGTTATCCATACTTGGTTATGATACATTTGAATATCTTTGCTTAATCAATAGAACAAAAGTAAACATCTTTCTGGTATTCTTTATTTAGCTAAGATCCATCTGACGTCGGTGATGATACCCCTCATTACATGTCCTCTTCTGAACCTGGCTTGAATTTCTGGCAGCTCTATTGATGTACTGCTGGAGCCATTATTGAGTGATCTTCAGCAACATTTTACTTGCTGTGATATGATGTTGATCTATAATTTCTGCAGTCTGTTTTATCACCCTTGGAATGGATACAAATATGGAACTCTTCCAGTTAATTGGCCAGGTCCTCTGAATTTTGTGGCATAGACATTTGAATGCTTCTAGTGCTCTATCAGCTAATAAAACATTTCAGTTAGTACTCTATCAATTATTTGAACCTTAAAAAAATATTTTTTGTTGTTGTTATTTTCAGGGCAGTTTGGACTTCTCCCTTCGATACCATTGGTTCTTGATTATATGCTATCTCTTGAAATACTTGTTGGTCTACCAATTCTTTTTGATGCAGTGACTCATATATCCCTTCTACTTTTAATGTTTCCTGCATCATTAATATTTTACTTGTGGAATCCTTCAATATTTCAACTAGAACTTTGGGTTTTCCTTTAACTTTTTAGCTTGTGATATGCCGAGCATGTTTTTCCTTTCTAATTTTCTATTTTCAGATCTTTGCACATTTCCTTATAATGTACTTTGTCTTGAGCTACCTTTTTTGTTTTTGTTCAACTTTTTTTACTTCATTTCTTCCATTTACTTTAGGTGATCTTCATTCAAAAAACAAGTTTTCTTTTCTTTCTCTTCAGTGGCCTTTTGCTTTCTTAATGTATGAGGTTCTCGATGTTCTCCACAGCCCATCAGGCCTTCTGTCAGTGTTCAATGCATCAAATCTGTTCTTGATGTGCTCTCTAAACTCAGGTGGGATATCCTCATTGTCATATTTTGGCTCTCATGGACTAGTTTTAATTTTCTTCAGCTTCAGCCAGAACTTGCATATGAGCAATTACTAATCTGTTCCACAGTCAACAACCTAGCCTCATTTTGGCTGCTTATATTGAACTTATCCATTCTTCTTTACAACTGGACCAATATGATAAATGGAGAAAAGGTTGAAGTTGTGAGGATTTTGTCTTACTTCTATCCACAATCAATGCTCATGGAAGCAGCTGTCAAGAGATCAAAAGATGTATTGCATTAGGTAAATCTGCTGCACAAGACCTCTGGAGTATTGAAGAGCAAGGATGTTACTTTGAGGACTAAGGTGCTCCCGACTCAAGCCATGGTATTCTCCATTGCACCCTATGCATGTGAAAGTTGGACATTGAATAAGAAAAATCATAAGAGAATAGATGCATTTGAATTGTGCTGGAGAAGAATATTGAAAGTACCATGGGCTGCTAAAATGACAAATTGATCTGTATTAGAGAAAGTTAAGGCCAGAATGCTCTTTAGAGGCAAGGATGGCAAGGCTTGTTCTTACATACTGTGTACAAATTGTCAGACCAGTCCTTGGAGAAGGACATCATGTTTGGTAAAGTGGAAGGACAGCAGAAAAGAGGAAACCGCCTCAATGGCACCTAACAACATTTTCTCTTCCTGCAGATGGTAGTCAGTTTCATTCCTTTGTAGCCCATCTGGCGAAGTCCATGTGCATAGTTTCCATTTATGATGTTGAAAAAGGTATTTGCTATGAAGATGTTATTATTCTTGCAAAATTCTACCATGTGATTTCCAGCTTCATTTCTATCTCAAGATCATATTTCCTATCTACTATTTCTTCCTCTTTCTTTCCAACTTTCACAAGTGTATACAAATATTTTTTCCCCTCCAGAGAATAAGCTTGGTTTTTACTTCGAATGTAATCTCACTATGCTGATTATGCACTGCTATTAAAGTATATTGGGTAAATAAAATTACAACAGGCTACAAAAAACATACATAAAACTTTCAGCTTGGTAAGCAGCGGGTAGATAGTGATTTGGTGTGATTTTTGCCTTCTCTTTCCTAATGTTCTACTATAGGCTTTTTAAAAAGCAGTTTTATTGACACATAATTCATGTACCGTACAATGGCTTCAATATAGTAAAAAGTTGTGCAGTCATCACCACAAACAATTGTAGAATATTTTCATTTTTGTACTCTGTTATTAGGTCCACACTTTCCTACAACATCCCTTGTTATAACTCTAAGAAACTGTGTTAGGCAGGGTTCTCTAGAGAAACAAAACCTGCACACACATACACATCATGAGCAGCATGAAGGAGTACAACAGCTAATTAATCCACACAGCAGTACAGAAGGCTCAGTTCAACTCACCTCCATGGAATAGTTAATATAGTGGAAGCCCTTGAGGGCTGCCAGGTCCCATGTTAAGGAAGCAGACAGTTGAATCTTCCCTTGGGCAATACAAGCAGTCCGCCCACAGGCAGCAAACAGCAGGGCAGGGCAGCAAAACAGGCTGGGATGAGATATCAAACTCAAGCAAGGCAAGACGACAGGATCCATCAGTCTCAAGCTCAATAGATGTACACACCCACAGTTTGGCGTAGCAGGTATCTGAGGAATCTCAAGTTCTAGTGACATCCACGGATTGGCTGCCCCACAGGTAATGTAGCTCACAAATTGAAGCAGAGAACTAGCTAAAGCAGCTGCAAGCTGTTCAGA